AACTTTTTATTTTATCCTTTATGATGATTCATACCTACAAAAATATTTATAGCATATTTTAAATTATAAGTTTCAAAAGTCTTTTTTCTTTAACTTTGCATCCAATCAAATCCGTCAAAAATATTAGAACAGATGAAGTAACTGATACAATAATAATTTGAACACCCATATTTAAAATCTTATTAGATTCATAGTTTTTTGTCCTTTTAAGATGTTTGCACATCCCTTAAAAAAAATATTTAATAGCCCTAATCACGATAATTTTGTGCAAACCACCCTTTATCTCTCTTAACTATATGTCACTTGAGTAACGCTCCATAAATTAACAGTCATGGCAATTTATTTTTTTTTTNGTATCATTGACGACACTGAACAAGCCCTGGAAATGGCTATATCTATCGTTACCAAATGTTGCGCTCAGGGACTAATGCAGCGCGTATTTACCATCATCCCGTCTGCATCTTTCCGCAACCTGTCTTCACAGCTAGAGAATTCCATAGTTAATGTTTCGTGGCTCCTCCGTGTCTCCGCCACAGAAAGCGGAGATGAGTATTTGGGCCTTCCTCCTATTGCCGCTAATGAACCTATATTGTGTTTTATTTGGGAACTTATAGCGATTTTATATACTGGTTCGGTCAATGATCGATCTGAAGCTGCTGCATCATTGACTTCACTAGCTAAGGACAATCATCGGAATGGAAAATTGATCGTTGAAGAAGGTGGAGTTGGACCATTGTTGAAATTATTGAAAGAAGGAAAATTGGAAGGTCAGGAGAATGCTGCAAAGGCAATTGGACTATTAGGACGTGACATTGAAAGCGTCGAACACATGGTGCATCTTGGTGTATGCTCAGTGTTTGTGAAAATCCTCAAAGAAGGTTCAATGAAAGTTCAGGCTGTAGTGGCTTGGGCAGTTTCTGAACTTTCTGCAAATTACCCAAAATGTCAGGATCTCTTTCATCAGCATAATATAATTAGATTACTTGTTAGCCATCTCGCCTTTGAGACAGTCCAGGAGCATAGCAAGTATGCTATAGCTAGCAAAGCCACGTCGATTCATGCTGTCGTTTTTGCTAGTAATAATAATAATAGGGGTAGTGTGACTAGTGTGCACAAGGTGAATGATAATAATGATGATGTAAACCATCACCATCAGCACAGTGTTTCTACTACAGGGGTAAGTAGTAAAGGGCGAGAACTCGAGGAGTCTGTTACTAAGGATTATATGAAGGCAATGGCTGCAAGAGCTCTATGGAAACTAGCCAAGGGAAATTCATCTATTTGCCGTAGCATTACTGAATCAAGAGCACTGCTTTGCTTTGCAGTGCTGTTAGAGAATGGGACTGAAGATATTCAGTACAATTCAGCTATGGCAGTAAAGGAAATCACAGCTGTGGCGGAGCAAGATTCTGATTTGAGAAAGTCAGCATTCAAGCCTAATTCGCCCGCTTGCAAAGCTCTTGTTGATCAACTTGTGAGAATCATCCAAAAAGAAGATTTAAATCTGCTTATTCCGTGCATTAGAGCTATTGGGAATTTGGCTAGGACTTTTCGAGTTACAGAGACGACGATGATTAGCCCATTAGTAAAGCTGCTCGATGAACGAGAAGCAGAGATTTCAAACGAAGCAGCCACTGCACTCGCAAAATTTGCGTGCAATGATAACTACCTTCACATGGATCATTGCAAAGCGATCGTAAGCATGGGAGGGGCAAAGCATTTGATTCAACTTGTTTTCCTTGGTGAAAAAATAGTTCAGAGTTCTGCATTACTTCTGTTATGTTACATTGCATTGCACGTCCCTGATAGTGATGAGCTAGCTCAATCCGAGGTGCTTTCAGTGCTAGAATGGGCGTCGAAGCAGGCATACTTGAACCAAGATGAAAAGGTGGAGACATTGTTGCATGAATCCAAAAGCAGGCTTGAACTCTATCAATCCAGAGGATCAAGGGGATTCCGTTGATTGCATCTGTGACTTGATGTGCATAATTTGCATTTTGTTAGATGAGATATTCTGTTTCTTGTTTTTAAATGTCTTCCTATTTCCTATGGTCATGGAATGTATATAAAATAAACTTTTTTTCCTGCAAAAATTTTGTTTAAGAAGACCTCAGGAATCCCCTCTGCTCTGTTGAAATCCCCAACTCATTTGGGACTGAGGCGCAGTAGTTGTTGTTGTAAGCTGTATTATTGTATGTAGGACTAGGATACAGAATCTGTTACTCTTGCAATATATGAATAATCATTTTCTTCGGCTTTGTGATTTTCCTTTCATTCTGTTTAAGGGTATTCACTCTTTTTTCATTAGAGTTGCTGAAATTCACCATATGAAATTTTAACGATTATAGTGATGTAAATTGTAATGAAAATAATCGCGGGGCGAGAACAATATTAGTATACCTATCAACGCAGCGGAAGAATTGTTGAATTCACCATCAAAAGAATTGCCCCAAGTCGAACTTTGAATCTCTTGGAAACAAAGTTAGAATTTCACGAACTAAATATCTTCTTGTATTGATTGAGAAGAGATTTTTGATCTCACTCTTACTTTTTTGTCTCTATCGTCTTTCAGAAAAGAAGAAAGTATGTTTATATGGAGAGGGACCACTACACTTAAACGTGTAGTAACCACTTTGAAGAGTCCACTACACTTAAACGTGTAGTAACCTCTCTTTAAAGAGGTTATTTTAAACTCTATCTCTTCTAAAATTCTTTCTTTTCCAAATGGGTTGGGCCAGTCCTCATGGAGCGACCCGATACCCCGATCAAATATCCAACAACATGCTCATTCCAAAAAATGGACTTCCTATACAGGCGTGAATTATCCAGCATTTTAATGATTTCCAAGTGAAGTCCGTGTCTGAACATAACTGCCCTTACAAATTTCCTTTTTCCAATTTCTAACTTCAATTACTTTTTTTCAACTTCAAATCGGGTATTGTCCAGACGCCTATGAAGATTTGCGAGTGAAAAACCAATATTTCACTTTGAATGCACCTTCGAACCAATATATCAATATTTTGTTTGTGTAATAAACAAGGTATGTGAGAATAAACCGATATTTTATTCTATGGGGTGACAAACATATATAGTTGTACATGGAGTCCAAACTATGGAAAGGAATAAAGAGTCTACATAGGGAATCCCTAACTATGGAAAGAAATAAAGAGGAAAATCCTACAGATTAATTATCAATCCATGTAATTATACTATCTATGTATAGTATATGAATATGACTACGTTCATTTTTAACACTCCCCATCAAACTGGAGCATAGATATTGATCATGCCTAGCTTGTTGTAAATATAATCCACCCGAGTTCCATTTTAACGCCTTTGTGAATAAATCGGTTGGTTGCTCTCCTGTTTTCACGTAGCCAGTGGAGATCAGGTTTTACTGAATCTTCTTGCGAATAAAATGATAGTCAACTTCAATATGCTTAGTTCTTTCATGATACATCGGATTTGACGCAATATGAAGAGTAGCTTGATTGTCGTACCAGAGTTTTGCTGGTATTGGATGCTCCAACACAATTTCAATCAAAAGATGATATATCCACATAATCTCACACGTAGATTCTGACATAGCTTTGTACTCAGATTCTGCACTGGATCGAGATACAACACTACTCAAATTCTGCACTGGATCGAGATACAACAGTTTGCTTCCTACTCCTCCACGATACCAGGTTCCCTTCAACAATGACACAAAAGCTTGTAGTAGATCTTCTACCAATTTTGGATCCAGCCCAGTCAACATCTTCAAACACTCAATATGGGTATGACCGTGATTGCTATATAATACGCCAAGTCCAGGAGCTTCTTTCAAGTAACATAAAATATGTTCCAAAGCTTCCAAATGTTTGACAGTTGGTACGGACATGAACTGGATAACAACACTTACCGCAAAAGCAATATCTGGATTAGTCACAGTGAGGTAGTTTAATTTTCCAACTAACCTCATGTATCTCTCTGGATCATCATAAGAACCACTATCATCTTTCATAAGGTGCGCATCAAGAACCATTGGAGTACTGCAGTGTTTAGCTGCCAACTTTTCCGTTTCTGCAAGCAAGTCAATAATGTACTTTCTCTGAGACAAAAGAATTCTCTTCTTGCTTCTACTTATTTCTACTCCCAAAAAGTATTTCAACATGCCCAAGTCTTTGTATGAAACTTAGTATGTAGGAAAGATTTGAGGGAAGAGATCCTCGTGATCTCTTCCTGTGATAAAAATATCGTCATATATACAACAGGAGAATAATGCCAGTTGTTGATTGCCGATAGAAGACGGAGTGATTACTCATTTTCAGCCCAAACTCCTAAACTATCTCGCTGAACTTGCCAAACCAAGCTCGAGGACTCTGCTTCAATCCATACAAATACTTCTTCAAATGACAGACTTTCTCATGCTCCCCCTGAGCAACAAAGTCGGGTGATTTCCCTATATACACTTCCTCCTGAAGATCACCATGAAGGAACACATTCTTGATATCCAACTGATGTAAAGGCCAATATTTGGAAATATCTAAAGAAATAAATAAGCGGACAGAAGTGAGTTTGGCAACCGGGGAAAAAGTGTCGGAATAATCCACCCCATAAGTTTGAGCATACCCTTTAGCTAGAAGTCTAGCCTTAAGTCTTGCCATATAACCATCTGGATTAACTTTAACTGTGAAGACCCACTTACATCCTACTGGTTTCTTTCCCTTGGGTAAATCTACCAAATCACATGTGTGGTTATCCTCTAAGGTATGTATTTCCTCTAGCATTATGTCAGACCATCAAGGATGATTCAAAGCCTCCTTCACTGTTTTGGGTACCGAGATGGAGTCTAGAAAAACAATCATAGATCTTGATGTAGAAGATAAGTGGTCATAGGAAACAAAATTAACAATACAATATGTGGATTTGCAAGTACGTATACCTTTGCAAAGAGCAATAGGAAGGTCAAGTTTTTCTGTAGGGCCAGGCATAGGAGGATTAGGTGACAAAGGAACTGTTGTAGGACATGTATCATTCGACTCTCGCCTCTTCAAATAAACTTGAACAATTGGTTGTCTTGCTAACACAGTCGGATCAGGTGCTGAAGGCACGTAGTCGATTGGTGCTCAATAGAAGAACAAGGTAAAGGAGAAACATCATCTGGTTGTTCTGTCAAAGCATGAGTCTTATATACTAGCCACTCATCTTCCTCCCCCTAGCTTGTAGAAATGGGAGGTGCATAGAAGAATGGTGTAGTCTCTGAAAATACCACATCAGTTGACACCAAATATTTTCCAAGCTCAGTAGAATAACATCGAAACCCTTTCTGGAGGCGAGAATAGCCCAAGAAAATACACTTTAACGCCTTGGGATCCAACTTGGTAACAGATGGACGAACATCTCGAACATAACATGTGTCACACCTCCTTTTTACCTACACCCCCGGAAGGGTATAAATATAGGGGAGTTTTTCCAATTAAAAGACAATCGAAACGGGATTGTTTATTTATTAAAAATCAGAGTCGCCACTTGGGATAATTTATGATGTCCCAAGTCACCGGTTAAAATCCCGAATCAAGGAAGGTTGACTCTGTTTAACAGTCCGCGAACCAGAAATTCGGGTAAGGAATTATGTTAACCCGGGAGAAGGTGTTAGGCATTCCCGAGTTCCGTGATTCTAGCACGGTCGCTTTGATCATACTTGGCTTATTGAAATTATTTAATTACTAACTTTGGACCCTATGTGTATTTATCCTTTACCGCTTTTAAATTACTTGATTATTCGTAGTTAAAGGATCGAGTTACGCGTACGTATACTCTTTCCCTTTGGCGCGTCAAAAATCATGTCACGCGAACGTGTCCACAATTAATAACACTTTATTATTATATATGAAAAGATTTGGCCAGAGTTGCGCGTATCTAAAGCAAACTCTAAACACTTGTCATTTTGTATGATTAAATGGTATACGACGCACCTCAGACTATATGAGCTAATTTAATTAATACCCTACGAAACCCCGTTCTACTATTAAGAAGGTTTGCTCGAAGTTGCGCGAACGCATACTCCGAATTAGTTTTTAGAATTGTAATCATGTCACGCGAACGTGTCCACAATCACAATGTTAATATCAAATATTAAATAATAGATGGAGTAAAAGAAAATGCATTAAAATATAAGAAAAGCCGATTAAGACTTATGCAATTCTACGATGCACTACCTTGACAAGAACTTATAAAATCCACCTAAACCAAGTCAAATACTCCCGAGACTATCCAAAAGAAAATCTGATGCACAGAATGATAAATTCTCTTCAACATTGTAAATGAGCACATGAACTCGTGAAATGGATAATGCTAAATACCTATGACACAACTAATTCGATCCACTCAACATATAACAATATTAATTTTCCAATGAAGTGGTAATTTAATAATCCAAAAGAAAGAATCTTAGCACAGACGTGTATTTCGAATCACACTTCAACAAAATTCACACCCCTGCTCCGTACAACTCAAGCCATCGTATGTGAATTACAATTCCAGATGCATACCCTTTACATATCGGTGAGAACAACTACTTCATGAAGGGATTAATTAAGCTTCTTTAGCTTTTCGTGAAAACGAGTCCCAGCTAATATCTCTTCCATTAACAGTGATTTCAAACAAAAATTTTATCAACTATGAGTGCCTAATAAATTATTTGAATTAGCTCACATGTAACTATTGACTTGACAGATATCACCATGGACCTAACCAAAACATCAAAAGTGATTATTTTATTTTTTATGAACTATTCAAAAAGAAAGAAAAAAAATGGGATTGACTCTGATTCGTCAATCCTAAAAAAATCACTTTCCGTAGGCGTAATTCTGTTATATAGATATATAGGTCAGTTGCAAAGGATATGCACAATTTGGATTCGCCATTGACTTTTAGAGAGAGAAATAAGAGAGAGAAAATTACAAAGGGTTATGCACAATTTTTCAATAGGCCTCCACTTCAACAACAATAGGCCTCCACTTCATTCATTTTCAACTG